CACACACACACACACACACACACACACACACACACACACACACACACACACACACACACACACACACACACACACACACACACACACACACACACACACATACACACACACATATATACGAAGCACGTGCGTGCACTTAGCCTGATGGCTGGGCAATAGGATAAATGCAGAGCAATCGTTATCGCTTTATCGACCGTTATCTTTACCAAATGCGAATCATTCTCTCTTTCCCTCCCCCCATACGTTCCCCTTCCTCTTTCACTTACACACAATTTCGTTCAGAAATTGATTCGCACCGCGGCAAAAGGTCGATTTAATCCCGCCGCTCCTCCCTTGTGAATAATAACAAACGCCACTCGCGTTATAATTCGGAACGGAATGCCGATCGGTGGATTGGGCAACGGTCGGTAAACGGAATAACGGTGCATCGTGAAGGGGGGAGGGCCCAACCCAGGGTAACCCAACCCTGCTAACGCATCGTTCTTTGTCCCGGCCAACCTAGTTCTCCGTCGAGAAGCGCGTAGGCATTTCATTCGAATTGTTGACTTTAACATTTTCGCGGAGAGGAAAATATATGGAATCGATCCTTCGTTCGTTTCGCGCCAAAGGTCATCAACGTCTTTTTTGCGCAACACTATTGGCTGGCCGCAGCGCGGGTATAATTCAGTTAATGACCAGCGGCGGCGCAACGCGACCGCAAAAATAATTCGCGCAGCGCCCTCCCCACTCCCTACGGAGAGAAACGTGTTAACGGTATGCCGAAAGTTCTGTTCCGAGAGAAGGATCGTCGTCACACTTTCGCGGCGAGACAATGCGTAACCTCTATGTCGTATCTCATCGAATTTTTTGCATTTTACATTTCGCGCCCGATTTCACACGGCGGCCAACCACGGTGTTAATTAACCGCGAGAGGAAAGCTTGTATAGGGGGGAAAGTGCGCCACATACGTCTCACCTTCGAGTCCCACGAGCTCTTACGCTTGTGCTCCATCGCGACAGTCATCTTCGACCCGTTAAAACGATCCTCTTCTCCTCCATCAACGTTTCCTCGGTACATTAGCCGCGTGCAGGCGCACCAACATCATCGTGAAATTGAATTTTCGTTTCGTTTCAGCTCTCGATATATATATATATATATATATCTATCGATTCACGCTTTTAGTTTCTATACACCAAATATCTTCTACGAGATGACGAGAGTCTTCTTCTCTTTCTCTTGCGAGGAATAATAATCCTCTACTCTCGATTAACTTCGTGCACTTTTCTCCACCCTTTCTCCTCCTCTTCCTCCTCTTCCTCCTCCTCCAATTCAATATTCGTTCGCTTCTTGACACCTATGCAAAAAATCAACAATTACAATGCGGATGACACGCGCGGGCACACGTACGCGCGCACACACGCGCCCGCCACGCAACATATTGTCACGTTATTTAAGAGTCGCGCGATACGAATCGCGATCGAAAAAAATCACGTAATACGTGACACCGAGTAACTAGATATTTCGAAACCTTATTCGCATAGAGCACTTGACACTGCTGCATTTACCGCGATAAGTATATATGTATATATGTACATTATACCATAGCCTATTCTACAATCTAATCTTTTATTCGAGAGATCCCTTTTCTGCTAATTTCTTTTTTTTTCTTTTTATTCGCACATACGAATGAGCGAAATATCTGTCAACAACGCGCGTTTATTTGCAAGGAATGCGCGGAAATTTACGATCTCTTTGAGCAAGAAGCAAGAATAAGAATGAAAGAGTTTTTTTTAAGACATTCGATCGTATAAATAAATTTCGATCACCGAGATTGCGACGATTTTTTTTTTTTTTTCTACTTTTTATTCGACGGACTTCGAGGTACGAGTTAAGGAGGCTGTCTCGAACGAAACCAAACTGCCAAGGGAACGGGGACCCGCCGTTTGCTAGATCGTTCCTTCGCTTCTGGATGCACTTTCACGTCATTACCGGTTCTCCACGACACGACGCGACGCGACACGGCACAACACACAACACGACGCGACGCGACGCGCCGCGACGCCTCGAAAAAAATCGAGAAAAACCGTTTCGAATGAAATTATTGAACAACGATATTCGCGGAAATTCCGAATTCGAGATACGAGGCTCTAAGCTATTCCGACGAATGTTTCTGTTGTTGTCGAGAATGTGAAAGGATGCTGGAAAAGAAAAAAGTAAAAAATAGAAAGGTATCCGAAGAATATTTTTAGCCTTTAACCTGTTCTCAAGGAATTTGACTGCAACCGAAACCGCTCGTTCGAGGCTCAGTTCTTCAAGGGTAACTAGTTAAATTAAGCTACGAATAATAACTTTACGCCTTTCTTATTCACGAGACAAGGGCTTGTCAATGAACTTAATTCTACGTTACGTGTGCAATACGTGTACACATTGCACTTTTAATACAAGACTATTGAATTTCAAGGGTAGATCGCGGATGGAAATTAAAGCTGTCCTAAGCAGTATCGATTTCGATTATGCACAAGCACGCGCTTGTCACTTCGATCGCACGAATTACGATTATTCAACGATTATTATGAAAGAAAAACTCGTTGCGTGTTTATACGTTGAACAATAAGAACAGAAAAAAAAAACATGCAAAAAGAAATAAAATATACAAGATATAGAGCTGTGGAAATAGAGCTGAAAATGAAAAATAAATAGAAAAAAATATTGCGTGTTAAACTTACTTTCGTTTATCTTCGTTCGCATATAGGTCTACAGAGACAGATTGGGTTGGTTCGTTCAATTTTCGTGTACCAATTTTACATCACTTTTACACGATCCATATTTTTTCTTACGCCACAATCCAACCCATTTTCTTCCTTTTTTCTTCTACTTCTTCTTCTACGAGAGAAATATAATACCCGCGAGATGTTCACGTAAAATTCATCGTAGTATCATCATATCGTCCCGTTCCACGTTGTTCTCGACGTTGTATTGGACGACAGCTGCGTCGACCGTACCGGAAACGTTTCCCTCTTCGACTACCGGGAACGTTAAGTTAGCCTTTCACACTCTACGAAGCAACCGTCAAGGCGATCCTCTTTCTTCGTGTCACAGAAAGAAATAACCGTTAACACGACAGCCGAACCTTCGAGGAGCGAGGCACACGCACGAATGTGCACCGCTCGGTCTACCGCCGATTAATGACCCGGGAGAAACGTATACGCGCCCTTCTCCAACACGTAAACATACGCTTCCAGCGTTATACCGTTTACCCGCTCTTCGATTAATTGTTTACAATTCTAAATACGAAACTTTCTTCTTGTTAGCGAAGATTATCATTCTTCTGGAAATTCCTCTTTATTTTTTCTCTTTTTTATAATAGAACGTTTTATTTTCTTCGACGATCTTCTTCTTTAACGATCATAATGTTAAAATCAATGTTAAATCGTTGCAATCGTTACACGTAATCTTGGGTGAAAACGTCGAAAATTCTCTGCCAGGAAATTATCTCGAGACTTTTAAAGGAACTCGATATTTAAATTTTGCATATTCGATTATTTATAGTTTTGCTTCGTATGATATATATTATTATAATTTTCTACAATTCTTGGGAAACTCGACATTCTCGAATTCTTTCTTTATATATATTTTTATAAATAACTCGTGAAAAATTAATTCTTCTCATACATACTATTAGCGCGTGTTTGAAATTAGTTCAACATTATTCTGTAATCATCTTGTGTACGTAATGTTTCCCGACTTGTTAATTTCAGCCAAAGGAAAATCAAGGTGAGAATCATGGAACGATCAGTGCGATTTGAATACTTAATCGTTCAGTTTATTCGTATGAACAATTAAATGATACATATACATGGTGTGTATGAATTACGTGTCTCTCACTTAGGTCTAATACATCGACAGCGATCAGAGGCGCGTACAGAGCATCGAACGAAGCAAAGTACCGCCACGATTGCGTAGCTACGTTAATGATAATAATAAAAATTAAGTATAACTACCCTGTAAAATACGTAATGCGAAAGTTCATTGATATTCATTTATATTTATACTTGATTGTAATTCACTGATACTCAAGAATGATACTATCGTTTCGGAGTTGGCGGTATTCATAGGTAATCGCTTTCTGCGATTCAATAAGATGTCACAAATTTCGAAAGGAAATTTATAATACAATGGCCACTCGAGCAATCGACAACGTCGAAACAATCGATGGTTCAATGTTCGAACAAACGATAACAAATTTTTTTATTCACCGAACGAAAGATCCAACGAAGTGAAATAATGATATATAATACTGATTAATTAATCAACGATGATTTATCCAATATAAGTAATATCGCACCTCGTTGAATTCGATCGTTATCATTTGTTTAACAAATTGTTCAATCGACATTGTTCGGCATTGTCGATTAAACGGGCACCCGTTACATCATAGACCTTCCTTGAAATGCGATCTTGTTGAATCGCAAAAAAAAAAGAAGAACGAGTGTCCATTTATACCGCTAACCCCGAAACGAGTAATTTCTAGCAATAGTAATTTCAATACTAGTCTCAAAGCTAGTAATTTCAATACTAGTCTATATTGAAATTACTTAAGAGCCTCACGGATTCGTTTCTCTGGGCGAGATACGATGCTGGCACATTTTCAGAGATCGGTGTCGTACCAAGCTGCAACCTGGTTATTATCTTGTGGCGGTGCAGGAAGCTCTCCTAAATGATCGAAACTCAGGTCACCCTCGTGCGCCACGTCCATAGTGTCCATCGCGCCATATGTCGACCCTCCACCTATTTCCAACCCTTGCATCGAATCTACTGGTATCTGGTCATAACCTGTTTTGTACAAAATTTACGATAAATCCAACGTTTCCCGTTCGCACACACACACACACACACACACAATGTGTTACTACATTAATCGACAAGAACTACACCGTCAATAATCACAATTCGACACAACTATTAATGTAAATATTCCCGCTTTCTTCTCTTGAAATTTCTTCTTGATTTTTGTTCTCTAATTTTTTTTTTTTATTCACGAGATAAAATTTAGAGGAACGATCGTTTTGATCGGTTGGAATTTTAATAATTCCTTTCACTCGATGACGATATCGATACTCGAGATACAAGGCGAAGATAAAATCGATTAAATTTGGAAAGAAGATGGAAGAGTGAACGACGAGCCACGAGGAAGGAAAAAATTTAAATCGCATATTTCATCGATGAGAACAAATTCTTTTTTTTTTTCTTTGCAACAATATGCGTTCGTTTCCGCGATGGCAAATAACGACAAACGTATCTTATCTAATTACTTACGAATACTTATCTATGCTTCTTTCCACCACAAAGTACGATCACTTAGAGAAAAGATGATAAAGATACAAATATACCATGCAATAAAACTTTAAAAATAAATTAACAAAAGGAAAAACACGCTACATAATGAATCCGTTGTGTTTTTGAT